ACCCAGGGTGACAACTTGAGGCTTGGTCTCAAAAAAATAATAGTAATAATTCTTTCCTAACACCATACTTAATAGGAAAAACAAAACCCTAAAATTTTATAAGGAAACATAGAATATAATGATATCAGTGAATGGAAAAAAAAAATTTTTTTTGAGAAAGAGGCACCATCTTGCTCTGTTGCCCAGGCTGAATTCAAACTCCTATGCTCAAGCAATCCTCCATCTTCAGTGTCCTGAGTACCTGGGACTACTTATAGGCATGCAACACCATGCCTAACATGGTATAGAAAAAAAATTCTAAGGCATAAAACATAATGGAAAGACTGCTACTTGATTACATTAAAATTGACAACTGTAATGCAAAAGATACCATAACCAAAGTAAGAAACTGTCACAGTGAAGAGGATGCTGAGGAAACACAATGACTGAATGTAATACGTTGTCCTGGATGGGATCCTGGAACACCGAAAAGACATCAGGTAAGAACTAAGGAATCTGAATAAAGTACTCACTTTAGTTAATAATATATATTAATACCTGTTAATTATAACAAATGTACCACACTGTATCTTACTAACAGAGAAAACTGGCCGTAGGGTACATGGGAACTCCATACTAGCCTCACAATTTTTCCAGCTATCTAAAACCGTTCTAAAAACTGTTTAATTTTTTTAAAAAAAGACATACCAAAATAAAAAGAAAAGTCAGACTGGGAGAAGATATGAAGCTCTAAATACACAAAGAATACATAAGAAATCCTACATACCAAAGAGAAAAAGACTAACAACCACTTACAATGCAAGAATAGATGCAGACAATTCAAAGGAAACCAGACTGGCCACTGGACACAGCAAAAGGTGCTCAAAGCTCACTGCTAATAATCAGGAAATACAAATTCAATCAATGAGATACCATGTCACAGCCACCAATTTGGCAAAATAAGTCTGATGGCACCAAGTGTAGAAGGAGGTGTGAGGAATGAAACTCTTTTACCTTGCTAGTAGAAATACAAATTCACAGATCACTTGAAGAGCAAATTGGCAAAACCAGGCTAAAGTTGAAGACGCACACAGCCTAAAACCAGCAATTCCAGTTCTGGTTCCTACCCTAGAGACACTGGAATAGGTACATGAGGGTCCGAGTGCAAGGCTGTTCCCTAAAGCACCACGTATATAAAGAAAATTGGAAATACTCTCACAAGGACAAAGATAGAAGCATGGAATAACAAGCAGTGAACGGTGAGATGTGTCAATATGGAAAGTCTCAAAAATAAAATTTTAAAAAGTATATACTTTTTACATTCTTTTTTTTCTTTTTGAGACAGAGCCTCAAGCTATCCCCCTGGGTAGAGTGCTGTGGCATCACAGCTCACAGCAACCTCCAACTCCGGGGCTCAAGCGATTCTCCTGCCTCCGCCTCCTAAGTAGTTGGGACTACAGGTGCCTGCCACAACACCCAGCTATTTTTTGGTTGCAGTTGTCATTGTTGTTTTGGCAGGCCCAAGCTGGATTCGAACCCACCACCTTAGGTGTATGTGGCTGGCGCCTTAGCCACTTGAGCCACAGGTGCCAAGCCTATATACTTTTTAGATACAGCGTCTCACTCTGTCACTCAGGCTAGAGAACAGTGGCTTGATCACATTTCACTGCAACCTCAAACTCCTGGGCTCAAGTGATGCTTCCCCCTCAACCCTCCCAAATAGCTGAGATTATAGTGCATGCCACCAAGACAAATTAATATATATTTTTAATCTTTTGTTGAGAAACAGTCTCCTATGTTGGCTAGTATCCTGACCTCATGTGATTCTTCCATCTCAGGCCTTCAAAACCACTGGGATTGCAGGTGTGAGCCACTGTGCCCAGCCCTCAAAATTGAGTGATAAAAACAAATCAAACTAGGAATCCAATTAGTCTCGGTTCTCTTCCTGGCAACGTGACCTTTCTGGGAGAGCTTTACTTCTCTGGATCCATTTCCTTAACTGCCATTTGCCTCGAGGTTGTACAAGGCAGATACTTACAAAAATGTTCCAGGGGAGGGGGAACACTAACATAAACATATTGATCTGAACAAAGAATCCTATTTAAAATTAATCATCTAAAGCTAAGAATTTTTTTAATTTATGAAGATGAAATAATAATTACCATGGCACAGTAATTAAAAAGCTTTAATATCAGGCTCGGCGCCTGTGGCACGGTGGTTACAGCACCAGCCACATACATCAAAGCTGGCAGGTTCAAACCCAGCCCAGGGCAGGTAAACAACAATTGCAACAATTGTTATGGCGGTCACCTGTAGTTCCAGCTACTTGGGAGACTGAGGCAAGAGAATCGCTTAAGCCCAAGAGTTTGAGGTTACTGTGAGCTATGATGCTATAGCACTCTATTAAGGGCAACATAGTGAGACTCTGTCTCAAAAAAAGAAAAAAAAAAAAGCTTTGATATCAAGACTCAGGCATAAAAAAACAGCCTTTGGGGTCATTGGGCAAATAACTTGATTTTCCACCTATAAATTATACATACTTTGCACAGAGGGGTGTCCAACCTTTTTTTCTGTCCTGCACAGAGGAAAAGAGTTGTCTCGGGCCACATAGTAGAAACATAAACACTAACAAAAACCGATGAACAAAAAAAAAGGTCCATGCATAATTTTCATAATATCCAATACCACAGATAAACCAACCAGGCCTCAGATAAAATCTGCATGCAACCCATAGGCTGCAGGTTGGACACCCCTGCTGTGGGATCAGACAGTGAAAATCCACCTAACACCAGCTATTCTTCATAATTAAGAGAACTAGTTAAAGCCTGGCGCCTGTGGCTTAAGCCGCTAAGGCGCCAGCCACCTACACCTAAGGTGGCAGGTTTGAATCCAGCCCGGGCCCACCCAACAATGACTGCTACAACCAAAAAATAGCCAGGCGTTGTGGTGGGCGCCTGTAGTCCCAGCTGCTTGGGAGGTGGAGGCAGGAGAATCGCTTGAGCCCAGGACTTGGAGGTTGCTGTGAGCTGTAATGCCACAGCACTCTACCCAGGGTGACAGCTGGAGGCTGTCTCAAAAAAAGAAAAGAAAAGAACTAGTTAAGCAAAACATCAACTGCCCATGCATTTCCCTTTATTTTGTGTTGTCCAAGAACTTCGTGTATTCAACATACTATTACTTCCCCTATTATAATATGGTAAAAACTTTGTATTAAAATATCTTCAAAAGACTAAGCATGAAGCCATTTAAAAAGAAAAATCAAGATTAAATCCTATTGCATTTGATAGGATTTCATCTTTGGAGTACTCTGACGCATTCTAAAAACACACATACTGCATTATTAATATACTATGAATGACAAATTTGTGGATGTCTTTTTCGTTAGTCTTTGAATTAGGTTTTGGCAAAGACTAATATACCTTCATTATTAATAACAGATTAAACTATCATTTTAGCTTTAAAAAAAACTCAGCCTCAAAAGAAATCCAATTTTTTTTATTTTTTAAATGAGCTTTTTCCCTTTTTATTATTATTATATTTTTTGAAGTTTTTGGCTGGGACTGGGTTTGAAGCCATCACCTCCGGCATATGGGGCCGGGGCCCTACTCCTTTGAGCTACAGGCGCTGCCCAGAAATCCAAATTTAATCAGAGCAAAATACATCTTCACCCATGCATGAATGGTTATTTCACCATCATTTTCTTTTTTCTTTTCTTTTTTTTTTTTTTTTTTTTGA